GGCCCCCACCCCGGCCAGCCTCCCTTCCCACTGGCCAGCACCCCGCGCTAGGCCCTGTCGCCCCATCTCCACTCCCCTCCCATTGGCCAGCACCCCGCGCTAGGCCCTGTCTCCCCTCCCCTCCCCTCCCGCTGGGTGGTGGATAACACCTGTGTAACCTCCCCGGTTCGCTTGGGAAAGATTTTGAGCAGCTGGGAAGAAGGCAAAGCTGGTGCCATGTGACCAGCCAGCAAGTGCTACAGGCCACGGGCCAAGAGACCCTGGGTTAGCTCATCACGGGCAGGGTCAGTCTCAGGGACACGTTCCATTATTGGCTGTTCCAAGCCCCCGGGCTACCAGCCCTTGCCTCAGACATGAGGGAGCCTTGGCTCTTCCGGGGGACAATTCCCAGCCAGATCCATCCCCCAGTCCAGTCGGGGTGTGACAACACTCCCAGCCCTGCCCTGGGGACGATTCCCAGCCGGCTGGATCCATCCCCCGGCACGGCCCTCCCTCTCCCTCCTTGGGCTTTGTACCTGTCCGTTCCATGCAGTGTCCCCATGGCCTCCGCCTGGGCACTCAGCCTTTCCCAGCTGACCTAGACAATGGACACCTGAGCCCTTCTTTGCAAATCAGCCCCTGCGTTTGTCTCACCCTTCCCTGGCCTCTGTCTGCTGGGGAGCGCCCCAAGCTGAGCGCAGCAGCCCAGCCAGGGTCTGCGGGTACATGTGGGGCACCATGGCACCTACATCGACCCTGGATCCTAGGTAGGGATCAAACCCAGCACCTCTGGCAGCAGGCCCCTTGGTGCCGCATGGGGAGTCGTTGTTCTAGCCAGCGGGTTGGCCTCACGGGTGCTGATGCCACGTGTTCCCTATAGCCCCACCCTGTCCAGTGGGAAACGGTCCCCCCCCCCCATCGGCGCCTTTCCCCCAGGGCACGCCAGACCTTGGTGCTCACCCGGCCTCCCTTCGCTGCACCTAGCGGCCCGGGGACAAGGGGAGTCCATGGGACTGGGGGGGTGTCTCGTTATCACAGCAATGACCCCAGCGGAGCAGGAGTGTGCTGGGCACGGCTGCCCCGAGCTGCCCTGTGAGGAGATGGCGTGGGTGGAAGGTGCCATGCGGACAGTGCTGGAGCGTGAGATCTCCCCAGGGAGCAGGGCCAGCTGCCCACAGCAGCCCCTGCCAACCTGCCCTGCCCTCTGTGGCCCAGTCAATCCATGGCCTTCCTGCTGACACTGCCCAGGTGGGGGGCAGTTAGCGTTGATTGCCCCTCGCCTGCCAGTCACGGGGCTGAGACCCACAAACTCATTCCACACAGAGGCCACCCAGCCGCCCTGGGGTAGGGAGAATGATGGGCGCCCCCCCATCCCCGAGCAGCGCCCAGCTAAGCCCAGCCTCCCACAGCCCCTGACCGTCCTCCCAAGGACCCCGAGCAGAGCCCCTCCTGGGGGCGCCAGCACTAAGCCAGCGGGATCAGTGCCCGCTCCCCAGGGCCCTGCGCACCAAGCCTGGGCCTGGCTGGTGGAAGCCCCTTGGCCCCCTAGAGCCCGGCGTCAGGCCCAGCCCTGACCTCACTTGCCCACTGGCGTGGGGCAGACACGGGGCACTAGGTCCTGCCATGGGGAGTGCCGGGGAGCCCGCTGAGCCAGGCCGGGGCCTGCCTATGGGTATTGTTAACTCAGGCTCCATGGCGGGCAGGGGAGCGAGGCCAGTGGGTCAGGTGTGAAGCGGGGGGGGGGGTGCCGGGCGCGGCAGGGAGGCTGGGAGGGGGCAGGCCCTAGGTGAAGGGGGGACCAGTGCACAGCAGGAGTAAGGCTGGCAAGGGTCAGGCAGCGGCTGGGGAAGGGGGACCAGTGCAGGGGGAGGGAGCCAGGCCCTACGTGAACGGGGCGGGCACAGTGTGGGGGAGGGAGGCTGGGGGGTGAGGCAGCAGCAGGTGAAGGGGGGGCAGGCCGGCCAGGGTGGGGGTGTCAGATGGGAAATGCTGGGAATCTCGTGTCTCAGGACAGCTGATGCTGCTCACGTCGCCCATACCAAGGACTCAGGCAAGCCTGGTATGTGACCCCCAGACAGACTGGTCACAGGACAGCTGGGGCTGGGGGCTCATCCCTGAGATGCCAGCCCAGCCCTGAAGAGGAGTCTCCCCCTAGCCCTGTTCCCGGCTGACATGGTCCCGTACTGCAGGGGGCGTGAGGAGGCCTCGCCCCAGCCCAATACACAGGTGCTGGCTAGAACATCCGTTGCAACCTCTCACCATTTCTCCGGCCGGCGCTGCAGCGACTGAGCTGCCAAGGCAGAGCCAGCTGCCGGGCCGAAGCCTTCCCTGGCCTGGGCTACGCCAACCTTCTCCGTGGGCGGCGGGAGGGCAAGGGCAGCGTTTGGCCCGTGGGGGATGGGGAGCCCAGCGTGACACGAGCAGCTTGGAAGCTGAGCGGACCCACCCTGGGGGGCCACTCAGCAGAGTCAGCGGCCCTTAAAGACACTCGTGAAACCAGCGCCCCCCGCTGCACACTGCCCAGGCAGTGGGAGTGCCAGGGGCATTACCCAGGCCCACACTCTGCCAGTGGGTCACCGGTGTCAGAAACCTGTGTGGCTAGCATGCCCCCAGTGGGAGGGGCGGGGGCAGGGGAGTGAGGCCGTGGCGTGATTTCCCCATGGCAGCTGGTTCCATGCCCCAGATGCCGGGTGTGAGGAAGGTGGGCATTCCGGTAATAGCTTTATGAGCCAGATGTGTGCCTCAGTTTCCCTATGCGCTTGGTACCGTCACACACGGAATGGGAATGAGGGCTTGCAGAACGTCACGGGGCCCCTTGGCGGCGCTGTCGAGAGCTGAACAGAGCCAGCATGTGCGAGTGGTGGATCCAGAGCCCCGGTGACTGAACATTAACGACCGGGGCAGTCGAGAGCAGGCGGCTTCCTCCAGCATCGCGGGGAGGCCGAGCGAGGAGGCCAAGGAAGGTTGTTGCTGGGACCACGCATAGACAGGGGCAGCGAGAGGGAAGATGGCCCCTCGAGGATCAGGGCCTGGGGAAGCCATCGCTCGTAGCGCTCTGGACTTTCCCTTGCTAACCGAAGGACTTTCTCTCGGCTCCCTCGGGTTGGAAGGGCTGCCCTGCGTCCCTGCATGGCTCCTCTCTCGGTGAGGAACAGGGATCGCGGGAGCCCAAAGGGTCAGAGCCATTGAGGCCTTGGGGAGCCGTGTGGCCCGCAGATCGAGGGGGGGGGGGAGCTGGCATGCAGAGACCAGGGCCTAGCTGAGTCCCTATCAATCCATGACACCATGCGCGTGTGAGACCCCCACCCCAGTGAAAAGGGGGGCAGAGGTGCCACACCCGGCCAGGGAGGGGACCTCAGTCGGGGACAAAGCCATGCAGAGACTGGGTAAGGTCGGTAGCACCCGAGCTGTGGGCTAAGGGGGTCATGTATCCCCACAGGGCAACACTGCCTTCCTCTGGCACCTTCACGTGGGGGATCTCAAAGTATTTGACAGGCATTAAAGGTGGGGAGGAGGGAAAGCTCATCCTCCGTTCAGAGCTGGAGAAACTCAGGCCCAGGGAGGGCGAGTGATTCGCCCAAGCTCCCGCAACAACTCCATGGCAGAGGTGGGAAGAAAACCCAGGTCTCCGGCGTCCCAGTCCCCAGCTCTAACCACAAAACCAGAAGCTCTGGGCTGGCAGGCTCCCAGGGGACTGCCTGGACTCTCTGGTCCTGATGGGGCAGCATCAACCTCCCATGCCGTCTTTCCCACCTCAGACATAACCCGGCCCTGTGGAATCGTGGCTGGGGGGAGCCGTCCCCAAGCCGTGGCCTGGGGCCTGATCCTGTGTGGGGCCCAGCTCCAGGCTAGGGAGTGTCCTGGATTCACAGGGTCTGGGCTATGCCCCAGGCACATACAGGCTCCTGGGAGATCCCCTTTAGCACCCAAGGGGCTTCTCTTTTCCACGCGGCCTCCACACCTCTGGACTTGGGCCTTCAGGCTCCAGCAGCGTCTGTTCCCCGCTGTGAGCTTTGACCTTCGGGTCCGACTGAGGTGGAGGCCGGTTCCGAGGCTCTTTACCCCTACAGGGAGCAGCGCGTCAGGGAATATTTGCAGCGACACTGGGCAGCCCTTCTGAGTCAGCTGGCATCTGGTCTCCGGCAGTCGGCAGCTCAGCGTGGGAAAGGCAAGCGGGAGGCAGAGATCCTGCTGGGCTCCGGCAGGCCCTGCTTCTCTGCTTCTCTGCGTCCCTCTCTTCCCAGCCCAGACACTGAGAACAGTGTGTTCACACCGGGCCGCTCTGGCTCTGGCTCCAGCCATGCAGTGTTCACGTGCCCAGGCGACGCTGGCCTTAATGTCCTGGCTCCCTTTGTCTCTTCTGCCTCCTCCGGTCTGTTCAGCCCAGGCTAAGGAGTCTGGCCACCAACCAGGCAGCTACAGGAGTCAAACGCCGCAGCAGGGCACGGCAGCACAGAGCACACAGGGAAACTGAGGCACACACGTGGCTCATACAAATATTGCCAACTCAGCATGGGGCGGGGGGGTCCGCGTGTCCCCTGGGAGTGGCTGCCAGGGTGAGTCGCTTCCTCCCCCATTGTTGTTTCAGAGGCATTTGGCCATCCGCTGGGGAACAGCTGACAATGCTGGCCGGACAGCTGGACTGCAGGCACGGCGCGCTCGGGGAGAGGAGGGGTGCAGGGGGGCCAACCACGGCCCAAAATAAACCTCCAGAGCTTGCCGAGCACACAGCCGCCGCCGTGCCGGGAGGGAAGCTGCCACCACCATGCGCTGCCTGGCTCTGCTCGCGACCCTCGGCTCCCTCACAGGTAAGCCGTGCCCGGCCTGCGGACGGGGCGAAGGGCAGCCGGGTATGGTGCTGGGGAGGTGGCTGTGAGCACGGATGGCTCTGTTCTGGACTCAGCAGCAGGGAATCAGGGCAGCTCAGGAGACCACCCCCACCCCTCTCCATCCCAGGGCTGGGGCGGGGAGCAGCCTCCTCTCTTGCTATGATCACTCTCCATCTCTTCCTTCAGGGCTTGGGGCGCAGCAGCTGCCCCCTTGTCCTGCTGGCTGGCGCAGGGCAATGTGCCATTCTGCACAGCCCCTGGCAGGCTGGCCTAGTCACTATGTGTGCGTACAGCACCTAGCGCAGCGGGGCCCCGCTCCTGACTGGGGCTCCCAATATCAGTATCTCTGCCTGGAGAACAGCCCCTTTCACGCCCTGCCTGCCACGGGCTCTGCTGTGAGCATCAGCAGCCCTCACCCCAGCCCCTGCAGCGCCAGCTCCCTGTACCCCACTCCCAGCCCTCAACGGCTGTGGGGGGTCCTGCACCGTAACATGCCCGCCAGAACCCTGCTCACTGCCCTGGGATGTCACGCTGCTACTGACTCCCACCGCTCCACCTGCACGGGGCACCCACCCTCGTCCATTTCACGCTGCCAGCCGGTCGTGGGGCACCCACCCTCGTCCATTTCACGCTGCCAGTCGGTCGTGGGGCACCCACCCTCGTCCATTTCACGCTGCCAGTCGGTCGTGGGGCACCCACCCTCGTCCATTTCACACTGCCAGTCGGTCGTGGGGCACCCACCCTCGTCCATTTCACACTGCCAGCCGTGGGGCACTGACCCTCGTCCATTTCACACTGCCAGTCGATCATGGGGCACCCACCCTCGTCCATTTCATACCTGGGACAAAGGGGGGACTGAACTCGGCTCCTTCCGCTTTGAGAGCGCGAACGACGGTTGCCACAAAACAATTCTTGGCAGACACAGTGGGGCCAGCTGCTGCCTATGCCTGTTAGCAGGGGCTTCGAGCCCAGAGAAGCCAGAGACACGGGCACACGCGTGTGCGGGGCACACGCAGACCCCCACCCGCGAGTGTGGGACACACCCATCCGCACACAGTGCTGCTGGCCAGTTGCCAGCGCTAACCCCCAACACGCTCTCCGAGTCCCGTCGCTTTCCAGGAAGCAGCAGCAGCAGTTTTGCTAATGAAGGTAATTCGTTAGCACGTTGCGCTTCTCCCCAGAGGCATTTCATTCAGACGCGCTTGGCCGGTCTGGCCATTAATAATTTAATAATGCAGGGGATTTGTAAAGCCCCTGCTAATGAGCTAACCATCTGGGCAGCCGAGGGGGATTGATCCCAGGCCAGAGCTCACAGGGTGCAGGACCCCATTGTTAGACCACGGTTAAGCTGGGTTCAACACACGTTGCCTGGTGAGTTCAAGCCACGTTTACTCCTTCTGGGGGCCCAGAGTCGGGGCCGGCTCATAAAGATTGGAGAGGGGGACACCTGCGGCCCTCATCCCAGAGAGAAATGGGATACTGCTATTCCTCACGGCATCCTCAGGCTTCTAGCTCCCAAGCCCTGGGCAGCCCCCTGCAGGCAGGGCCGCCGAGAGCGGGTCGGGCCCTGGTGAAAAAAAATTTTTCGGGCCCCCCAGCAAGGGTGGACTGGCTAAACAGGGCTGACGGGGGGGGGGAAGCCGGGTCCCAGGCCCCCTTCCGGAATTTTTTCGGGTACCCCAGCAAGGGCGGACCAGCTAAACAGGGTCGACAAGACAGGGGTGGGGGGGTGAGGAGAGAAGCCAGGGAAGCCGGGCCCCCTTCCAGACCACCAGGCCCTGGTAATTTGTACCAGCTTCCCCCCACCCCCCATTGGCCCTGCCTGCAGGGCATTGGCAGGGTCTGATCCCAGGCCCTTTGGCTCTGAAACATAAATTCATAGATTCTAGGACTGGACGGGACCTCGAGAGGTCATTGAGTCCAATCCCCTGCCCTCATGGCAGGACCAAATACTGTCTAGACCATCCCGGATAGACATTTATCTAACCTACTCTTAAATATCTCCAGAGATGGAGATTCCACAACCTCCCTAGGCAGTTTAGTCCAGTGTTTAACCAGCCTGACCCCCTGATAGAGCTCTGCCTCTCGTGTTCAAGAAGTCACTCCATTACTCTGCAGCAAGAGTAGGCTTTTATCCTCTGCGTGGCCAACCCTCCAGCGGTCCCATCGCCCGCTCCAGTGGCTTGTTACACTTTTGCCTGGGGTCAGTTCAAACCCCGTGCAGGTGAGTGGAGGCTGGAAGCGGCTCCCATTTAGCAGCGGTGTGGTGCCCCCGTCCCGTGGGAATCCCATTTGACGGGTCCTGGCGCACAGCACAAAGCCAGGCAGCCCCGTGGGCACCGACAATGCAGCTGCCCACTTTGGGTCTCACTGGAGAGGCCCCAGACACCGAGCGCCCTCTCAAAGGAGCGAGGCTGGGGTAGGCTGGTAGAGCGGCCTAGGGGAAGCTTGCCTTGCTGCTGCCCATGCTGGACCCACCCTGTGCCCTCAGGTCGCCAGGGCAGGCACCTGGCACCATCCGGATGGGCGCTCGGCCTTGGCACGGCCACTGGGTGGGGGTGGCATGGGGCCTGCTTCCCTCAGGGCCTGGCTGTGCCCTACTTTCAGCCGTGCTGTGCCGGAACCAGGAGGAGAAGCTGCTCGATGCCCTGATGACCAACTACAACCGCAACTTGCGCCCGGCCCAGGGGGAGGGCGACATCATTAACGTCACGCTGAAGCTGACCCTCACCAATCTCATCTCCCTGGTAAGCAGAGCCCCGCCCCTCGTTCCTTGCCAGTCCCCCCCAGCCGGCTACCAAGCGACACTGGGGCGGGGGGGGCGCGGTGCATCGCCAGGCAGGAGAGGGTTAAAAGGCAGGTGGCTTCACCCCTGCCGCTGAGCTGGGCCCTTTCCTGCCTTTCTCCTTGAGCAGCTCAGACTGCTCCCAGCCCCTGCCCCCAAACTGGGAGGGGGCTGCTTCTCCCAGGAGTGGGGGGGGGCGGGGCAGAGATGGCTGCTCCCCGTTAGGCCTGGCCTGGGGGACAGAGACCTGAGTGCACTGCCCAGGACAGGGAATAACAGAGGCAAGAGGCACTGATGCCAGGAACATCCCTGCCGCCTCTCCTCCCAAAGGCACCCAGCACCCAGCCCTGACCAGGGACAGCCAGTCCGGTCTGGGCATCCCTCACACTACCCCTGCCATCACAATGGGGAGTCCGTGCCAGGGCAGATGCCCATGGGACTGGCTGCAGGACACTCTGAACCGCCCTTGGTAACGGTCCCTGAGGAGAATCACTGTGCCAGGGGTGGGGGGGGAAGGAAGAGGGAGATTGCGGAGGTGGGCATGGGGTGGTGATGGAGCTGGGGGGTGCCGGATGGGGGCACTGGGTAGTGACGGGGATGGGGGGGATGCGGAGGAGGGCACGGGGCAGTGAATGCATTAGAGACAGGGTTTCCTAGCAGCACCACAGTTGCAGTGAGGGCAAGGCCTGGCCATGCCTCAGTGGCTCTGTGGCTGCTGCTGGCTTCCCCTGCGGGGGCTGGGATCGTGGGACGCTGCCCTGCTCAGGGCACCCCTGGGACACCCCACATGCTGCTGCACCCTAGGAGGTAATTCCTCAGGGCTCCATGCACCGGAGCCCCATGAGAAGGGCGTTGCCTGAGCACCCAGCAGCTGGCAGCCCCACTGGAGCTGCCACAGGGCCGCCCAGCCATGGCGGGAGAGGGCAGGGCGGCGTGGCAGCAATCCCACAATCCCTCTCTCCTTTCTGGGTTCCAGAACGAGCGGGAAGAGACCCTCACCACCAACATCTGGATTGAGATGGTAAGGTGCCCAGGGGTGCCACCAGCCACAGGCTGGGCAGCAGGCAGAGATCAGCTAATGCTCCCCACCTCCCGCTAAGCTCCAGCAGCCCTCCAACACCCCAGCGCACCGATGCACCCGCAGCCCAAGGGCTAGGGCAGGTCGCAGCCCCCTCCTGGCCTGAAGGCAGCTGTGGCTGGGGCCAAAGACTCACAATCTGGAGCCGGGAGAGAGAGGATTGTTCAGGGCTCGTTCCATAGCCAGGCCCCACTTTGGCACTGAGATCAGCGGCATGGCCAGAGGGTTCACTCCCCGCCACGGCTCCCAGAACAAGTCACAGAGAAACCCTAGCAGGTCCCAGCCTGTGGCCAGAGCATGCCGGTTCCTTGCAGACCACGCCCCAGGGTCCTGGGGGGTCACGGGGTGGCCAGAGATGTTCATTCTATGACAAGTGACTGACTCTGCTTTTCTCGGCACCTTCCCCTCCATTCCAGAAATGGTGCGATTATCGGCTGCAGTGGGATCCTGACGAATACAACAACATCCAGTTACTGAGGGTGCCCTCCACCGAGGTGTGGCTGCCAGATATCGTCCTGGAGAACAAGTGAGCAGCTGCAGGGCCCAGGGCAGGGGGGCAGCGGGAAGCTGGTGAGGACCCCAGCAGTAGAAACTAACCTTGTCCAGACCTCCCTCTGCCAGGGCACTCCATTCCCTGCAGGGGCCGGGTTTGTGGCTACCCACCCAGAGACGTCACAGTCAGCAGCTAACTTTCATGCATCCAGGACTGCAGACAGAACCCCACATGCTCTGCTCCACCAGTACAGGGCCCTACCAGGTGGGCTAAAGGGGAGGTCTCTACTAGAGGCAGCAGTAGTAGGCTTTTATCTCCTGTGAGTTGCAGCCAATAGGCAGCGGCGTGATCCCAGCGATGAGCCGTTCCAATTCCATCCAGCAGAGGGCAGTGGTGATGCGCCCTTCCCCGCCAATCACGTACTGTCCCACAGCTGGTAGGGTGCTCTCGGGGGTTTGGCGCCCATAGTCGGGTACGGGCTGGGTGTTGGGGGGCATTTGGGGGTCGCCTCTGCCTTGCTGGGGGCTTCTCTGTGGCCCTGGGACAGTTCCAGCCCCGTGGGCAGTGGCCAGCCCACAGCATGAGCTCCGGGCAGGGCGGGAGGGAGCGCCCGGCTGGCCTGACCTGCCCCTCTCCTGCCCGCAGCATCGACGGGGTGTTTGAGATCACCCTGTACTGCAACACGCTGCTGGAATCCAATGGCTGCCTCCTGTGGATGCCGCCCGCCATCTACCGCACCTCCTGCGCCATCTTTGTCACCTACTTCCCCTTCGACTGGCAGAACTGCTCCATGGTGTTCCAGTGAGTGCGGCGGCTCGGGAAGGGGCTGGGCTGCCCCCCAGATGGGAGGGCAGGGGGCAGAGCCCGGGGTGCGCATGCAGCTTTCCTGCTGGGCAGGTGGCTCTCATGCCCCCGTCAGGCGGCAGCTTGCCCAGATCACCAGCTAAGGACCCATGAGATCACGCACAGCTGTGACCCTCTGCACCTCCCTCCGCCTTAGCCAGAGGCTGGTTGCGCTCAGCTCCGCGGCAGCCGTCAGGCCGGTTACCATGGCATGAGCCCTGTAGGTCACTGAGCTAGCAACGAAGGCACGCAAACCGAAGAAACCCAGGGCCCTGTTCTAGCCCATTGCCCTGAGCCCAAGAGGGCCCTGTGTGTGCTTTATCAGACGTCTCCGTCCCCTCCCACGACAGACCGAGCTAGCCCAGGGAGAGTGAAATGTCTGTGATCAACTCTTCCTCCCGCTCCCCACAAATTCTCCCATCGTACGGCCCCGATCCGATGGACCCAGATGGGTGTTGTTGTTGGTGGGGGTGCAGGATCGGGCCCCTGGCGGCTCGTCTGACTGTTCCTCTCCGATCAGTCCATGGCTACAACGTGTGACTGGATCAAATTTCTGCATCGGTTATTAAATTCTGAGTGCATCCAAGTTAGTGACGCAGGGTCCCTTCCCCCAGCATCGGCCAGTGCCGATCGATAGCAGGAAGGGAGCTCATCCCGCGTGTCGCTGAAAGGCCTTGGACGATAAAAGCCAGCTCCCGTTTATCAAGATGGGACCTGGCCCCAGTGATGTGCCTGATGCCCCGTACTGCAGAGACAGACGGAGTCCCTGGCCCGGAAAGCTAACACCCCACGTCCTGCCCCTGAAGTCAGACTCAGGGAGGCCCCGCACCAGGCGAGCGACCAGCCGGGTGGGTTGGATTGCAGGATTGGGGCCTACATGAAAACTCTTCCCCCGTGTGTGCCCCCGCACCTGTCGGCTGGCTGGATCCAGGCAAGGCCGCAGCAGTGCTACGTGGGATGGGTCTGAGTCAGAGCTGGGCTTGACCCCAAGCTGGGGAGGTGCCGGAGCCGTAGGACGTAGCAGCCCAGACGCTGCCTCGTTTCAAAGGAAGGGAAAGCCAATTCTGCGGCCCTGCAGAAGTCTGGCTGTGGTGCCGATCCCAGGATCCCGCTTAGGGTTGGATCTCAGCATTTCTGTTTGTCTGAGCGTGTCCTTTAGACAGCCAGGCTCAGCCACACACGGCCTCCCCCCACCTCTGCCACACAGGTCACAGACCTACAGCGCCAATGAAATTAACCTGCTGCTAACGGAGGAAGATGGGCAGACCATTGAGTGGATCGTCATCGACCCCGAAGCTTTCACAGGTAACGACCTGCTTCCTCCATCTCTCCCCCAAGGGGTCTTCCCTGGCCCAGTGGGGCAAGCCTACCAGTTGTGTCTCTGGAAATCTTCCAGCTGTTGGCAACAGGAGGAAATGCCAATGCCAGAAAGGGTGGTGCCAGCACTAGTCAGGAGGAGACAGTGGCTGGCAGGGTGGCTCAGCATGGCCCGGACACGTAGCAAAGCGCAGCAGGATCCCAGCCACCCAACCGGTCCCTCCAGCCCATCCAGTGTGGGATGGAGGCATTTGTAAAGAAACTGACGTTGAACTGACTGATAGGCGGGACTGGGAGCATGGCCTGGTATTAACGTTTCCTGACCCTTCCCATTATGAGAGCTCATTGCCAGTTGCTTAAAATCTTTGCCAAACTTTAACCATTCGGCTGAAAGTCTCCACACCGGGCGTCTGCCTCGGGCTGAATTGTTTGGGAAAATATCAGCTGAAGCGGTTCAGCTGGGTCCAAGACCGAGGAAAAATATCTTGTTTTGCCCATATTAAAAAATTCTGGGGACCTTTCCCTTGAACAGCTGTGGTGCCCCCACGCTTTGGGGCAGGGATTCGGAACAGGGCACGGGGCGGGGGGGTTGGGGGGAAGGTGTTTGTGGCAGGGATGTACCTTTTGCCATCCTGGTGAAAATGCACCCAAACCTGGCTACGGTATAAGCCTCTGAAAAATCGCAGTTGGCACCTGCTCAGTAGAGACTAGCAGCTAAAATCTCCAATGATTCTGTGCTCACTGAGCATGCTCTGTCCCCTCCCAGTGCCCGGGCCATCCCCACTGAGCGTGTTGCACTGTGGGGCGACACCGGACTTTGCTTCCGGCTGGGATGGGGCTGGGCACGGGCGCTTAGAGCAGGGAGCCCATCCCGCTGCGAATGCCCCGGCAGCGTGGAGGGGGAAACCATCGGATTCAAATGCTGAGGGGGCAAAAGCCGGATGGGGGGAGGTGGGGGCAGGGGAAGGAGCAACCTGGGGGAAACAGGCTAGTGAGACGGGGACAAGTGGGGAGAAATTGGGACTGGCTGGGCAAGGAGACTGGGGCTGGGGGCAAGGGGAGGCTGGGACTGGCTGGGCAAGGAGACGAGGCCTGCGTGTGGGGAGGAGAGACGGGGTGCGCTGGGGGAGATTGGGACTCAGATGATGAGCTTGGAAGGGGGAGGAAGTCTGGCTGAGCAAGGAGGCTGGGCTGAGGGATGGGGAGGAGTCAGGACTGGGCCAAGCCCAGGTGGGAGGGGAAGGGCTGAAGTCTGGGGAGACCAGACAGAAGAGTCCACTGGAGCACACTTCCCTCCAGAGCCTAGAACGAAGCCCCCGATCCCCGAATCTCACTCCTCTACTGCCTGTGAAAGCTCCTGGCAGAGGCCGGTCCACCTGGAAGACGCTCTCCGTTATTCTCTTAGCTCAAGGGCCAGTGGTGGCGGCTGGGGACATCCGCGACCCTGTGGATTTCCTGTTTGCTTTTTCAATGCCCTAGGAAACGCCCCCCCAAACCCTCCGTTAAAAGAACACGGCCGAGGTTACGCCGGCAAGTGCCCAAAGCTTAGGAAAGGCCACAACGAAGGGCTCCTGGGCAACCTGAATTCAGCCTTCTCGCGGGTCTGCCTGGCAACAGCCGTTAATTCCCTGGGCACGTCCTGTTTCCACAGGGCCCCGGCCTCATTCCGTGCCCGGGATGGACCTGCCCTGGGGCTGCCCCAGGGGTGGGGGCTGACGGAGGCTGTTGTCCGCCGGCCCCCTTGGTACAGACATTGGCAGCAGTGCCATGAACGAGGCAGGGAGGGCGCACAGGGAGCTCTCATGCTGTCACTTCTGAGAGCAGGACATTGCCGCTTGAATCCGGTTCGGGTAACGCAGCTCAGGAAAGTTGTTCAGGGTGTGGGCATCACCATCACCCAAATCCCAGAGAGCAGAGCCACCCGAGGTGCACTGGGGCCCTGAGCACTGTCCGAGGTCCTTCCCTATTGGCTGGAGCAGGTTTCCTGTTCAGGTTTTGTAGCCAGGCTTTGGAGCAGGAGTTGCTGTCCCATGCCCAGCAGGTATCCCCCGCACAGCGGGTTCTTAGCAGCTGCCACCATGACACAGATACGTAAGTCAATAGTCACACTCCGAGAGAGCTTTTCTAACCGGGACCGGGAGCGGATTGACGCGGGGAATGAAGCTGTCACGGACAGACAGGGATGTTTTCCATCACCTTTTAATTGCATCTTGGAGGAACAAAATGCTTTTTGGGCGGCGAGATTTATTCTTTCATTACCGGGCCGAGCCAGATATCTAGATTGGTAAAAAAATGAAATCTATCGCTCCTGCAGCCGACAGGAAACCAACAAGCCTGAGTAAGGCGTCACACGCCGCTTCCCCCGGCGGCTGGGAGTCAGGTGGGAGAGCGACTGAGTCTCCATCCAACCCCCCTGCACCGACGAGGCTCCAGAGGGCTGGCGACGCTTAGCCCCCAAGCAGGATCGGGCCCCTGGGAGCCAGCCCCTGCAAAGCAGGGTGCATTAAGCTGGTGACTGTGTATGTCCCGCCGTGACAGAGAACATAGCAGGGCTCCCGGGCACTGTTGTAAATCTTCTCCCAGCCCCTGTCCCTGTATCTTTAGCTGTCCCCCGGTGGGAAGCCCCCAGCAAAGGGTTTCTCTCCCCCCCGTCTCTAGGGAGCATTGTCTCGGGCTCCCTCTGTCCCCCTAGAGACGTGGCGGCAGCGGGGACAGGGTGAATGGGCTCCCCGTTGCTGTCAATAGTTGCTCAGCTGGGCCTGTCATTCACGCCGTCGGGCCTGGGCGGCATGCAGAGAGGCGGCAAACAGGAACGGACTCGCAGCCCAGACCTCGGCCCGCCCACCCCTGCTGTTTCCAAAGACGCGCACAACCGCCTGGGGAGAATGGGCAGGTTGGTGATGTTCCGCCCGCACCCAGGGCCCCGTCCCAGCGAGCGGGATTCCCCTTCCCATCCATCCCCCTGCCCCTGAAGGCCCCAGATAAAAGCAACGCCCCCCCCACGCAGCTCTAATATGGGCAAGAGGCAGTTCCGGGTATCCGCCAGCAGGGGTCGCTGGACGAGCTCCTGTTCCCCCAGGGGGGGCTCATGCTGCTCCTAAGGGGAGTCGGGGCCCAAAGTGGGCTCCCCGGGAGGCTGGGCCTGGGTGGTTTCCATAGCCACGTGGTGTCGTCTTCCCCGCAGAGAACGGGGAGTGGGCGATCAAGCACCGGCCAGCCAAGAAGATCGTGAACGCCGAGCGCTTCACCCCGGACGACTTGGGTTACCAGCAGGTCGTCTTCTACCTGATCATCCAGAGGAAACCGCTCTTCTACGTCATCAACATCATAGTGCCCTGCGTGCTCATCTCCTCCGTGGCCGTGGTGGTGTATTTCCTGCCGGCCAAAGGTAGAGCCTGGGCCAGCCCGAGTTCGGTACCACCCGCCACCGCCACGGCTCGAGCCTCTGGCATTGGCACGGGGACAATCCACGCCTCCCGGAGTGGGAAGGGGGCAGCAGCAGCTGAAGGGGACAGACCCAGTCCGATGCCCACGCGAGTGTGACAGGCCACTGGGGGGTCACCCTCACGGCCCGGTTATCTGAACCGAAATGGGCTGAAACGTGAAGAAGATTGGCTCCTCTCCCCCGCCCCTGCCCAGTTATGTCCCATTTCTGGCCCCTCGGCACCGCCCGGCCCCCATTCCTGAGCGTTGGCCAGCTCCCCCTGAGTCTCTGGGAGCATATGGCTCGCTCGCACATATCGGGCTGGAACGGCAGAGAATTCTTTCCCACACCTGGCTCCCAGCCCTCTGCTCTAACCACTAGGGAGGCAGTCTCCTGGCGGGCTCCGGTGTGTGGGAGAAGAGCAAAGCCCTTCCCAGAGGGCTCCGGCGCTTGGGGGGTCTCGGTGCAGACACGGGCTAATCTCTTGCTTTCTGCATCCCGACAGCGGGCGGCCAGAAGTGCACAGTCTCCATAAACGTCCTCCTGGCCCAGACAGTCTTCCTCTTTCTGATCGCACAGAAGGTGCCCGAGACCTCTGACGCCATGCCGCTCATTGGCAAGTAAGTGATGCTCCCTGGGGCCCCAGGCGAGCTCCCAAACCCACTGGGCTCCTCACCCCCTCCAATCCCAGCTGAGACTATTGGAGTCCCTGCTCCAAGGGACACAACGGGAATGGGCAGGGCCAGAGAATGAGAACCATCGTAGGTGGGGATAGGGGACTGGTAACTCAAACCTTGCCCATGTGACTCCAGGCTCCATCTTGCTGCTGTGATCTTCCACAGGGCAGAGGATATAAAAGGCCCTAAAAACTCCTCCATTTTGTCTTCAATCCTGCTTGTGACCTCTGGAGGAACCTTGCTGCAAACTGAAGCTCTGAACAAAGGGCAGGGCCAGAGAATGAGAACCATCGTAGGTGGGGATAGGGGACTTAATTAACAGAACTTCCTAGTGGCCCACAGGACATGCCTTGCTGCACAGCCTAGGGTTCATCTGTGGAACTCACCGCTGCAGGAGGGTGCAGAGGCAAACGGCATGGCCAGACTCGAGAGTGTGCTCCGGGGGCTAGGATGGAGCTAGAAGCACCATCCTTCACAGTTTGAACAGAAAGTGAGCCCGCAGCTGGGAGTTCGGCAGGAGATCCCGCCATGCAGCAGTCCTGCACAGCCAGGGGCATTTTCAGAGATGTCTGCTGCTAGGTGGATTAGATGGACCATTGGGAAGTTGTGGTCTGGGCTCCCTTTGTCTCCTATGTACATATGGGCTGTGGAGCAAGAGATCCAGGTGGTTCCCGTTCCCAGATCCCAGCCGGCCCTCGGCTTTGCCCTATGCCTGCTGCTAGGGCACCGCACCAAGAGCTGGCAGATGCCACGTGGCCTGTGACGGGGCTAGTGAAGTGGGGCTGGGGGCAGCAGGCCTGGCGACCAGCAACGAAGGCCCCTTCTCTCCTCCAGGTACCTGACCTTTCTCCTGGTGGTGACGGTGGTGATCGTGGCGAACGCCGTCATCGTGCTGAACGTCTCGCTGAGGACACCCAACACGCACGCCATGTCGCAGAAAGTGCGGCAGGTAGGTCGGGCGGGGCCGGCGCGCGCTCCCGCACGGGCTGGGATGAGACCCGCTTAACGCACGTGTGATCGGCCTCCTGCTCCTCCCAGAGCCGACTCTCCCTGTGCCAGCTCCGGGGAGCAGATGCTGCCCGTGCTGCGGGGCTGGGGTAGCTGCCTGCTCCCTCCCGTGCCCTTCGCTGCCTCAAGAAAATGCAGCTCCCGCTGATTTTGATGGGGTGGGGGGAAGGTCAGAGAGCAAAGGCAAGTGCACTGAGCCATCAAGTCATTTCCCAGGGTCGAGAGCCCCAGAGAATAGCCAGATGGCTGGACCCATGGCATGTGGGGCACGCTCCTCCTGACCCAGGTGTCTCGTTACCCTGGCAGCACCACAGCCGCGGGCTCACCGCCCGGATCCGACCGTGTCTCCACACCGCTTTGCACAGCCCCAAAGGAGGGCACAGGGGGCAGGACCGGAATCGGGTCCCCAACTGCCAAGGCATTAGCAACCGCTGGGCATTAGCACCCCTCTGGCAGCTCCCACTCGGCAGAGATGGGGAGATGGAGCCCACGCTGCTTCCACTCCCGCCGGCATCGGGCAGGGGAAACTGCGCTGCGCCCGATGGAACAGACCCGGGGCCAGACTCAGGCTCCATGAGCCCCCCAGCAGACAGGACCCCCCCTGTGCCAAGCATGATGGCACCAGCTCGCCTGGTCCCCCCAAGCGTGATGGTGCCGGCTCCCCATGGCCCCCTCCCACCGAGCGTGACGGCGCCGGCTCCCCCACTCTGCCCCGAGCATGACGGCACCGGCTCCTCGCTCCGTCCCCAGATCTGCCTGCGGCGGCTGCCCCACTTCCTGGGGATGCACATGCGCCGCAGCGACATGGCCCCCGGCCCGCTGCTGGCACGGCGCCGCAGCTCTCTGGGGCTGATGGTGAAGGCTGACGAGTACATGCTGTGGAAGGCCCGGACCGAGCTGATCTTTGAGAAGCAGAAGGAGAGGGCCGGGCTGATGAAGGCTGTCCTGGAAAAGATCGGTGAGTGACGGCTCCACAGGGCTGGGGAGAACCTCATGGCGGGGCAGCCTGAGGCCCCCACCCCACAGACCATGACCCCCTGGGCCTTGCACCGGCAGCAAATCCACCCCCTAAGAGCAGCCCCCCAAGGCTGGAATGAGGTGTGAGGGGGGTGCTGACAGGGGAACGGTACCGGGGTGAGGGTGTCATCATGGACACCAAATACCAGGAGCCAGACTGTGGAGGAGAGGAGCGTTAATAGCCCCCATTGCTCCGGCATCTGGTCCTGATGCAAACCCATCCCTGTGCCCGCCAGCGGGCGGCGAGCGGGGCGAGGCAAGCGGCACCAGCCCACCCCTCGCATAGACCGTCCCGTCTGGGAGAATTGACGCCAACAAAATTCAGGCGTCAGCTCTTCCCTCCCGCGAGGTGTGCGACCGGGCACCCGACTCACATGACGGTGCTTCGGCTCCCTGATTGGATGCCCAGCCGCGCTGAAAAACAGGAGAACCACCAGCAACGCCGGCCGGCCGTGGCATCCCTGGTGCTAAACCATGTGAAATGCTCCAGAGCAGCCACGAATGCACCAGGCTTCGGTGCACGAAGCTAGTCTTGAATTCACTGTGCGCCGTTCGACCTGCTCTGCAGAGCTGGGGCCTGGCCGGCCGGTGCTTTGCAAAGGGCCAGGTGCCTTTGAGATGCTGGGAGGGTAATAGAGACAGTTGGTGGAGGCTTTCTGGTGCCTGGTGCTATCCCCTCTCCTCCTCTTCCTCGTCTCTAGGGAGAGGCCTGGAAAACGGGTGCACCCAGGATCTCTGTCACAGCTTGGTGCAGGCTGGTCCCGAGATCCGGGCCTGCGTGGACGCCTGCAACCACATTGCCAAGACGCTGCGGGAGCAGAACGACTTCGACAATGTGAGTGCTGCCGCTGCAGAGCGTTAACCGAGAGGGGGTGTAACGAGGCTGGTTCTGGCGGGACCCAACTGAGAGAGTCAATTCAGGACAAATTGCTTGGAGCAGGGCAGTGACACCCCAAGGCTGGGGTTCCTTTGCACACCAAGGCAAACCAAACCAGCCAACCGGAGAAGACTTTGGTTTTACCCCACTGGCTAACCACAAGTCACACAAGCAATTCCCTTAGACACTCCAGTTTCCCAGTATCACCACCACTGCCACTCATTCTGGGGACGAAAACCAATACCCCAGTAAAAGAAAAAAGGTTCTCTCGATCCCAAAGGACCAAGCCCCAGACCCAGGTCAATATACAAATTAGATCTTACCTACAAATCATGCTGTTGCCAATTCTTTAGAATCTAAAATCTAAAGGTTTATTCATGAAAGGAAAAATATATAGATGAGAGCTAGAAGTGGTTAAATGGAATCACTTACATACAGTAATGTCAAAGTTCTTGGTTCAGGCTTGTAGCAGTGATGGAATAAACTGCAGGTTCAAATCAAGTCTCTGAAGTACATCCACAGCTGGGATGGGTCATTTAGTCCTTTGTTCAGAGCTTCAGTTTGTAGCAAGGTTCCTCCAGAGGTCACAAGCAGGACTGAAGACAAAATGGAGGAGTTTTTAGGGCCTTTTATATCCTTTGCCCTGTGGAAGATCACAGCAGCAAGATGGAGCCTGGAGTCACATGGGCAAGTCACATGTCCATGCATGACTCAGTTCTTTACAGGTAGCAGCCATTGCTCACATGCTAACTTGAATGTCCCCAGGAAGACTTCTTATGTGGATTGGAGTCTCCCAAGTCCTATTGTCAGTTAAGTATTTCTTGACTGGGCACTTAACTTGCAAATTCCTTTCTCAAGAAGCTGACCAAATGCTTCACTGGGCTACTTAGAATCAAAACACATTGAGATACAAGTACATAGCCAATATTTATAACTTCAGCTACAAAAATGATACACACACAGAGATAGCATAATCATAATTAGCAAATCATAATCTTTCCATAGACACCTCATATGACAACCTTTATCCAATATTTGGTGCCACTGCAGGACCTTGGTTGCAAAATTGATGGATACGGTCCCAGTTTGTGTCAATAACGTCACAGGGGGCTCAGGTCAGAGGGGGACCCAGGGCAGTGGGGACAGAGGGGTCCAATTCGCAGGGACTCGCGTATGGAGAAGCAGGTCAGAGACCAAGCTGGAAAGGGAAATGGGATGGGGGCAGGGGAAGGAGAGAAGGGGCCGTGTTTAGCCACAGGGGAAGCGAGCGCGGTTTTGATTGAGTTCAGTGGTGGCTGCGCGTGGTCCGAAGCCCAAAGGCCCCAGGGGACATGGGCCCAGCGACAGCGGGAGCCCGCCGCAGGTTTGGCCGTGAGCATGTGTCTCTTTCTCCCCCGCAGGAGAACGAGGAGTGGATCCTGGTGGGGAGAGTCATCGACCGCGTCTGCTTCTTGGTCATGGCCTCGCTCTTCATCCTGGGGACGGTCAGCATCTTCCTGATGGCCCATTTCAACCAGGCGCCAGCAGCGCCCTTTCCTGGGGACCCCAAGCGCTACCTGCCGTAGCAACCCGCTTGGGGTGGGCGAGCCCAGGACGTCTGCACAAGAGTCTCCCCCCATGGGCTCCATGCCCGAAGGCACCGTGTCCCAGGCGGGGCTCACAGAGCTGCTGCAGGGCGGAGCCTGCGGCTGGATCCTTCAGCCGGGGCTGCTTGTGGAAGCCGCAGACGGAAATGACCCGGACCACGGGGAGAGATGGCAGCCAAACCAGAGAGTCCGGAGCCCTCCGTGCCTGCGCTGTGCCCAGCTGCGCCTCTTGCTTGCCTCGTTTACATGTAAGGGGCAAGTGAGCTGAAGGGCGCTGGCTGAATCTGGGCCCCCCCAAACACTGTAGCTGGCAGCTCTGGCACCCCAAGGGACAAGGAGCCTGTCTGCCCCCTGGGGAGCTACGTGGCGACGGCCCAGCAAGGGGAGTGGGGCAGGCTCGCATGGGTTTGGCGGGAGATCTCGGGCAGCCGCGTGTGTTTCATGTGAGCCAGGCGTCGGAGTAAATACGACCGCATTTCCAAACGGCTGCTGGACTTCTTTGCTGGCAGCAGGGAAAGGCCAGGGGGGCGCTGGGGGTGGGGAGCAAGTGGGGAGGGGTATGACCGTGCTGCCCGTGGGAGCCAGCTGAGGTCACTCAATTAAGGTGAACTGCAAACAGAACGGGGCAAACCAACCCCAAACGCTGGTGGATATTCCAATACTTGGATTTACCAAAACAGCTTCTGTAGTACCTCAGTGGTTACTCAGAGTCCAAACAACGCAGTTCCCTTAAAGTACCCAGCCTCAGGCCTCCGTCCAGACACACACATCAGATAGGATGATGATTACTGAAAATCTTATCTCATCATATTAAAGAAAAGGTTCTTGCAATCCCAAAGGATCAGCCACACACCCAGGTCCAATTATAACTTAGATCTTACCCCAAATACACACTTATAGCCAATTCTTCTTAACTAAGCTAAAATTTATTTAAAAAGAAAAGAGAGAGAGTGTTGGTTAAAAGATCAATATATAGACAGACTTGAATTTGATTCTTGAGGTTCAGATACATAGCAGAGGTGAGCTTGTAGTTGCCAAAAGTCCTTTTAGAAATAGTCCATAGGTTATAGTCCAATGTCCATATTCAGGGTGACTTCAGTCGATGATTGGGGATCTCAATCCTTGTGGCTTAAGGTTTCCCCCTCTTGAAACCCAAAGCAGATCTGAGACGAAGAAGGATCATGTCCCAGGGTTTTTATACATTTCCAGCAGCCTTTTGGTCTGAGAAAACATTAGGCTTAACTCTCCTTCTTCCAAACATCCTGGCAATTAGCACAGGGTAATTTATCCATTAAACAGTTCAGATCCAGGTTACCACAACCTTCAAAGAGACATAGAGACAATAATACTATTTCACTCAAGTGTCTTCTTAAATGCCAGTACTCCTTTTTTGATCTTTGAATCCAAGCTATAGCAATAGACAAGACTTGTTTGCTTACATCCCAAGACCTGAGCAAACAGCTCCCCTTCTATCTCCAGCAATGCGGCTGCATTTCAAAGCTCTATTCATTTACAGATCTTCCTAACTAGTCTTTACAGTTTGGCCCGGGTCAGGTCAGTCTGGGAGGTAATTAACTCTTTCTGGCCCTGTCACTTTTCAATGAGAGATTATATCACACTCATAACGTCACAAGGGGAGATGGGTCCGTCTCCAGTTGCTGCACCATGAGGCATTGGCGCAGCTGGCCAGGGCTTCCCAGAAGCGGCCGGGCAGAGGGAGATGGGGTGGGGGAGGCTGCCCGCTGCTGGTCCCAAGGCTGCTGAGTGCCCAGTGACGCCAGCCACTGCCGTGGGCACACTCACCCAAGCTGTGGGGTTCCTGTTCTTTAGGGGGAGCAGCTCAGCCCCAGAGCACCTGCTCGCCGGCCACACTGCGGTCCCTGTGGCGCCAGCCTGGCTGGTGGAGCTCTGGCATTCCAGGGGGCATTAGTGACTTGGCACATGCTCAGCTGGATTGATTCCTACTTTGCAGGGCAGCTCTGGCCAGCCCCTTCCCCCGCGATTGGCCGTTAACCCGCTCTTTGCCTGGCCCAGACACCGGGGGGGTTGAGTCAGTCCTGGAGCACGCTGCAGATCTGTGAGCACACGCGCCCGCTCCGTCCTCGCCACACTCGGCCAACCGGCAAGGGAAGGAGGCCACCGTGACCATTCATGCCCAGTAACGGCTGCACCAGGAGGACTGACTCCCCTTTGGATTCAGCCAGACGCGCCTCACACATCTGTTTGCAAACCCCCCGCTCACCCGCTGCTGCTCCAGGCAGTTCCCAGCCGGCTCCAGGGCACCCAGCACGCGCTTGCCAAGCCGCCTTGGCCTCTGCTGCTCCGACTGCGCCTCTCGCACGCTGCATTCAGGGGCCCGCGCACGCTGGGGAGGTGGGCAGAGTCACGGCCCAAGGCAGCCTGGGAGGCTCTGCCCATGGAGCCCTCTCCGGCGGGGCCGCCCGGCTGAGCAGCACGGCCAGGCAGGGGCACACTGCAGCTGGAGAGACGGGTTCAGATCAGGCCCCTCACAGATCTCAGGAACCGAGAGGGCCTCTGGCTCACTTAGCCGCAATCCCCGGCTGGCTGGGGGGCAGGCAGTGTGAGGGCAATGGGCTGGGGGGCCCCAGAAGGTCCATAATACCCCCATCGGGCCTTCTGTCCTGCCACACCCAGGCACAAGGGGGCCGGGACAGAAAGGGGCCAACGCCACCAATCTGGCAGACCTGATTTGCAGGGCGAAGATTCCGATGAAGCCCTTTCACCGCCCTGATCCGCTTCCTCCTCCGGCTTCGATTCTGGAGCAAAGCCCCCCTCTTCCCCGCGGGGCCGGGAGCAGCCACCCAAAGCGCCGGAGGAAAGGAAAGCGCCGTGCAAGCAGAACCGCTGTTTGCTCAACCTCCCGCCCTGGCCGTGAACGAGCCAGAGTCCGACATGGGGTTCATGGGGGGAAGGGCACGGTTGCTTTGCCACAGCGGGCGCTGCCGTTTGAGGAAGCCACAGTCACTTGGGGGGGTGGGGGGGTTCCAGAGGTGGGCTCCGGAGCCGACTGCTTTGGATTGCCCCAGGCAGTAGCAGCTGGAAGCTGTTCCCATGGGGGGGCTACGGGGTGCCCTAGCAATGTGGCTGGCCAGCAGCCGTGCCAGAGCCAGCAGCCGTAGGAAGTTGCCCCTTTTCTGGGGCGCAGGGGGAGCCCAGCGCTGCCAGGATCCGGGCTGAGGATTCAACATGCCCCATTGGATACTGGGGGCGTCGAGTCACTTTGGCGCCGACGCAGATTCGCAAGCAATCCCGTTTTCTCCTGCCCCCGTGGGCCTGGCGGCACCCTGACCTGGCCTGGCTCACATGGCACCAACGGGCAGCCCTGGGCACTGGCCTGGCCTCTGGCTGTCATGTCACACTGCCAGGTCTCCCCTGCTGCCCTGATTAACATCCCCCCCCCCGCCCGCCCGACGGGCCCCTCCTCCTGGGAAAGCTGCGGCTCTCTCCTGCCCTTCGCTGACCCCTCGGGGCCAGAGCTCTGCCCGCACAATGGGGGAGATCCGGCTGGTTGGGATGGCAACGCCGGCGGGCGGGAGGGGCAGGGGGGCTCCGGTGGGGGCTGCGCTGTTGGAGGGGGCTGGCGGCACAGCTGCAGAGGGGCCGGGGAGTTTGCAGCCCTCTGCCGCCCGGGGCCTGCCCTCAGGTCTCGGCCCCTCGGGATGGCCGCGCTCAGCTCCCAGCCGTCTCCCTTTGGGCACCTGACGCGGGAGCGGCACATCCAAGCGCTGGCGAGGTCCTTGAGGAGGAAGGACGGGGCTCCAGCCCTCCAGGCCGGGGGGACATCCCCCAGCTGGGAAGGCACAAGCCGAGCTAACCAGGCTCAAGAGCCGGACTTTGGGAGCAGCCAGGGGAGCCCGGATGCCCCTTCAAGTGCCGAGGACCCTGGCCACCAACTCGAGGGCCGGAGATGGCCGGGAAGCGAGTGGGGTGGGACTGCCGGGGAGGAAGCCACCGAGTCGCCTCTGCCGCGGCTGGGCTGGCGGGGCAGGAGAGCCCGCAGACGGAGCCCGGAGCAGAGCTTGCAGCGGGTTCAGGAGGACGACGACGTTCCACCGCTCGGGCTGCAGGTGCTGGCCGGCGTCTCCCAGCTGTGCATCACCGCCCGAGCTGGGCTACGCGGTAAGGCCCTTGCGAGGCCCAATCTGCTAGCCTCGGCCCCCCGAGTGTGGCCCTCACAGCCCTCACCCCCCACCTCCTCCATATGAGAGCTCTGCCGCGATCCCAGCGCCCAGGACCCGGGGGTGCGGGGGGCAGAGCCTTTCAGCCCAGCTCCTCTCTTCAGATCCGCCCGGCAGTAGGGAGCGGAAGCTGGTGCCCCCTGGCAGTGTCTGGGGGGTTCACGCTGAGCCAGGCGCCCAGATCACAAAAGCCAGCACCAGCCAGGCCTGGGAGCCAATAGCGACAGGCCCCCAAGTGCGCTGGGGCCATCTCCGAGGGGAGGAGCGCCCCCCAATCTCGGCTCCCACCCGCTTGTCTCTGGGGTTCAGATGGCCCCAAATCAGCGTGGCCTGAACCTGCAGCGCAGAGGAGCAAGAAGAGGGGAACAGAGTGGCCAAGGGGCGAGGGGGGAACGATGGGGGGGTGTTGGTTTGATGGAGGACGCGCCAGGGAGCTGCCTCCCGTCATGGGCCCGTCATCTGCTCCGCGCAGGCTGAATGACAGACCTGTTCCCGGGCCGGGCGCTCTGTGGGATCTCTGGTACTTACAGCGTTTAACCCAAGCTGGCCAACGTGCAATGGGCCCACTGGCCCCTGTCAGCCCCCGGCCATGGGGCCATGAACACCCCTCGGCCCGGTCCCAGGGGTGCTGCGTGCCGGCCCCGCCTGAGGAATCTAAAGGCGCGACACCGGCTAGCGACATTTACTGCCCCCCCAGCCTGGCACAAGCAGGGCAGGGAGGTGGCGGGGGGGGGGGGGCACGGCTCAGACGCTGTCGCTGTGGCTCTTGCAGGGTTCGCCGGGGACCCAGGGAGAACGTACGTGGTGGGCACCGCGCAGGCAAAGGGGCTGCTGGTAGCTATCGAAGGTAACTGGTGCCCCACCCCGGCACATTCACCCCCCTCATTGTCAACAGCCACGGTGGGAGGGGCACAAAACCCTCCCAAATGGGGGAAAGGGTCTGGATAGGAAGCCATGGAAAGGGCAGAGCCCATCCCCCAGCAGGATGTGCCTCTCTCCCCCCTCCTTCCCCCCCCCGCAACCCCCTCCCGCAGTGCCTGAGCCAGAGATCCTGCTCACAGCTCATGGCCCCCGCCCCTCCGTTCCCATCCCCCGTGGCTCTGCCTCGGGGCGGGGAGCAGCACAGCCCCCCAGTGCAGGGGCGCAGGCCCCCAGGGCAGCCCCCTTCCCCAGCATCGGGGCGCAGGCCCCCAGCACAGCTCCCCTCCCCTCCCCGGCATCAGGGCACAGGCTCCCAGTGCATCCCCCGTCCCCCGGCATCGGGGCGCAGGCCCTAGCCCAGCTCCCCCCCGGCATCGGGGGCAGGCGCCTAGCGCAGCTCCCCCCCGGCATCGGGGCACAGACCCCCAGGGCAGCCCCCTCCGCAGGCATCGGGGCACAGGCTCCCAGTGCATCCCCCGTCCCCTGGCATCGGGGCGCAGGCTCCCAGTGCATCCCCCGTCCCCTGGCATCGGGGCGCAGGCCCTAGCCCAGCTCCCCCCCGGCATCGGGGGCGCAGACCCTAGCGCAGCGCTCCCCCCTGGTATTGGGACGCAGGCCCCC